AGTGGGATGGGGGAGACAATCGACAAAAAAAGTAAAATTTGTGGATTGAGATAAAGACAGTTTAATAGAACAGAAAAGGATGTGAAAATAATAGTAATAATAATAATGATAGAATATACAAAATGAGTGATGCACAATGCAATTGCTCACCACCCCACGAGTAATACCCAAACAGCGATCGCTACTTCCTGGACCACACCTCCTATTTATATACTGAGCATGACGTCACATGGTATGGAATACCCCATTGGTCAGTTGGGTTAGCTGTCCCGGCTGTGCTCCTTCCCAGCTTCTTGTGCACCTGGCAGAGCATGGGAAGCTGAAAAGTCCTTGACTAGCAGGGTACTTAGCAACAACTAAAACCATCAGTGTGTTATCAACATTTGTCTCATACTAAATCCAAAACACAGCACTAGGAAGAAATCTAACTAGCCCAACCGAAACCAGGACAGGAGATCACCTGCTGGGAGGCAGGGGAATAAAAATGTACAAGCTTGTAATTAACGAGGAAAAAAGCAAACGATTTTTTAAACTGCATAGCCTTGTAAATAGTGAGGTGAGACTGACAGCCTCACTAACGAGGGCTCATATACAACAGTACTGTAATTAAAAAATGTGAATTGATGTTCCCCTCTCTTTATTCAAACATGAGGTATAAATACAGAAGGAACATATAATTCAGATTCTCTCATTCATGGGAACATTACTGCATTAGTTACTTTTTTCTTTGCAAAGGTCATTTGCCTGAAAACCTTAAAATCAGTGAGCTAACAGTTGCTTTCCATAACATGTTCCTCTAAAATCTACTGTATTTCTGTGGAAGGTCTGCAATTTCTGCGCCCCCACCCCCCCACCCCAGAGATCGTGCCAGAATGCCCGCAAGCAGCAGACTGTAGCACTTCAAAGACTTTGCCTATAGTGGTCAAACTTACCGTGGACTCTACGACAATGGTCAACGAGGCCGTTCCCCCAGCTTTAACCGGGCTCTGTTGCCACGCAGGAGACCAGCTGCCCAGCCCCAGGGCAAATAAATGTCCTCAATGAACCAACCCTTGGGTATTTCCAAAGGCTGGCCCAGTTGACTCCTGTTGTGTTCAGAAAAATCTAGGTCAGCATGGAAGAGAGGCAAAGCAAGACAACGTATTGTGATTCTGAGAGGGGTTTTTCATCACTCCCTTGCAAAAATGAGCTACAGCCCTTAAGGCTTCAGAAATAGTTCTTGGAAACAGATGGGAGAAATCTCATTGCCTCTGTTCAGAGTCAGCAAAGTTTCTCTGCGTGATGCTGCATTTCCTGACCCAGCTTCTCATCAACAGAGCTTGATTTGAGCAGTGGTTCGCCAAACGTGCTGATCTGGATTACTCGCCTTACTTTAGAAAGTACATTACACTCATTTCCATATATTCCCATATATTATGATTTAAAGGTGAAAATGGATCTGCATAGTTTCTTTGTGTCTTCTCCTGTAACAAAGTTACCAAGCAATCACAACGTAAAAGCACTGTTGTAAGCGATGTGGTTATTTGAGAGTTGTATGAAATTTCTTTTGATCACCAATGCAGGTCAAATAAATAATGATTTATTTTTGTATATGCCTAGAAAAAAGAAAGAGGCATTGTTGTTTTAAATTTTCTTGGCATCTACTTTACATTATTAGCATAAAGCATACCCGGTTTTGCACATAGGCTTTCATAGCAAGGGTTTTTTTTTCTTATGTTTTCAATTTGAAATGGATGGCTAAAAGGTATTTATTTCTCTTCAGTACTGTCAACAGCCTAGTTGGCAGAAATATCCATCCTGAAAAACCTTTCTTAATGTCAGCTTAGCTTTCTTGGTGATTTATCTTCTTATTTTGTGGTGTTCTTTAATAGCAAAAGCCCTTCTGTAAGTTTCATTTGGTTTTCCTTTTGGTGGGAAGTAATATTTTGAAATTTTTTTTCCTACAGTGAGGTACTAGCATTTGCAAGTGTATTCTTTCGGCAGGCCGGGTGGGTTGGGTGTTGATGTGGGAGATGGTTTGACACTCAGTCTAGCCTTTGAGCTGCTGTAAGAACATAAGGGGTACACTTCTGTTGCTCTCCCCTTTTGTTGTGGAAAGGGTATTTTGATTGCAGTGGAAAGAATTGCTCTAGATGATTAAGAGTAATCCTTTATTGTCGCTATTTGGACAGCCTGGAGAAATGCTTATGCCTGGTGTAACCAGCGCTGTTTCGAAGAGCCTGTTGCTAGCCATGAATGATGTCTCTTTATGGGCTTAGTGAGTTGTTGACCTGGATTCATGCTTCTAGGGGCTTTTTTTAACTAATAGTTTTGTAAAGTATTATGGTGTGTTTATCTTGCTGCGATGTTAGGGACACTATAAACAAACATTCAACAAACGTTGGTATCTCAATATTATTTTGAATCTTCTCATTCTGCAGGTTTCTTTCTTTTCCTCAAGGCTATTTTACATTAAAAGCTAGTCAGCACTGCTTATCCCATGCTTCTTGGATTTTGAGTTGGGGATCTCATGGGCTTCAAAAGCATTAGAAAACAGGCATCCATGCTCTGGGACAGAGGCTGAGAGTAAATACTTTTTTTAAAAAAAAAAAAAACAACAAAACTGACCTGCTGCCAAGCAAGGGTAGGGAAGAGAAATGTTTGAAGACAGAGGAATACGACATAGTTGCATTTCTAAAAAGTTTGATAAGCAATGCCCAACAACCTCCAGAGAGCTGCTGAGATCTGACAAACTAACCCCCCCCCATCCCCCCCGAGAGGCTTCAGAAAAAATCTACTGATGCCAGTGTCTGGCTAAAACTTGTTCTAACTTGGAAATATTTTTGAACTAAGGCAGTTATAAATTGACTACATTTTTTTTTTTCTTTTATAGCTTCCTTGGGCTGCACTGAGGAAGCTTTTACCATTGTCCTACTGAAAAGAAGCCCTTCTAAGTCGAATCTAACAGCAAGCTGTTAACTTCCCAAAGCTGTGATTTATCCATAGCCATTCCAGAGCCCTCACGGAAGGGCTGTGAAAGCTCCGATGGTGAGCATCGTGCGTGCTTGGTGTACAGGCTGGCAGTGGGAGGGGAAGCTAGCGTAGTAGTTCTGACCTTACTTACAGCTCCACTGATGGAAAGTGAACAGTGGCAAACAAGAACAGACAAAAATGCCTATTAAGAAGAAAAGTCTTTAACTAGCCTTGGTGTTATTGTTACACCTTTTCCTCTGTACAGGAACTTTATCATGAAAATGTTGAACTAAATTTATTCCTTTTATCCCTTCACATTCTTAAGTTAACGCTCATTAAGCATTCAATTAGAATTCATATTGAAACACAAAGTATTATACCTATACATGTTTTAGTGTAGAGACAATCACATCAATACCTTGCCCTGTTAGAAATACTAGACTTCTGTGGCACTTACTCTGGAAAGCATACAGCCAGCTGATCCTGGCTGTATATGTTCCAAGTGTGAATACTGATATTGGTGTGAAGATGATGCCTATATATTTTGTATAGACATTTATTTCCAGGATAAATTAAAAAGAAAAACAACTACTTCACTTTTTTTAAGATCTTTATTCCAGGGTCACAGACTAAGATAAAAGGTTACAAACTAAAACATAGCTCGGGCTCTTGACATTCCTGTTGGATTTCTAGCCACTAAACATAAGTTTCTACTTCTCTACAAAATGTTAATGTTATCAGTTCGCCATTTAAAAAAAAAAACCCAAATCGAAACAAACCACCACTTCAAACCCTTCAGTTCTCCATGCTTTTAGTACCCACTGAAAAGCAAAAAAATTATGTACCTGTGCTTGAATAAGACTTCTCCATCAAAAGTGTTACAGTCTGTAGGTACTGCACAAGTCATAAGTTTATTTGTTACTGCCTAGTGGAGCTCTTTTTTAGAGGAAGAACAACCTTTTCTTGTCCTTTCTTCCAGAACAGCAGCACCACAGGTGGAGTGGTAACACTTCTCCCCACACCACAGTTACTATTTTAAATAGTTATTACTTTTAAAAGTGCTAAAACAAGACAGGCTAAGTTCTTGTTCAAATATTCAAAAGTAAAAGATAGTATGATAAAAGGCTCGCTACGCATACAGGAAGTACTCTGTGAGGGGTGCTTAAGATGGTCTCTCAACCATAGATTTGGACAGCAACATCCGGGAAACACTACATCTAATTTCATTCACAAATATAAAATTTTCAGCTAGGTTTTGGAATGCTAATTGATTTTTTTCTTTTTTCTTGGATAATAAATTACTTTTTGAAAAAGCTGCCCTCAAAGCTACAGGATTACTACTTTATGCTATACTAACTCAAAGATTAAAATCTTCCTTCAAAAGATGAGGTCATGCTGCATGAAATTTAAGGCACATGTATTAAACCAAGTTAAAGTGCTTTATGTATCCAAGCTCATCACTGCACCTCAACCTGAACTGAGACTTGGTCTTTTTAATGCGCCTGCAGCAATACAGTGGTCTGTCCTTTGTGGAAGAAAGTAAGTTGACAAAACGAAGTACAAAGACCAGGCTCTAACAACAATAACAACAAAAAAGTCAGTAAAACATCCTGTAGAGAAAATATAGGTAAATTTAAATCTTACCACAAAACAGGTGCAAGTTGCCTTGTGGCTGTAAATAACTCTCCCTGTTGTAAAAGAAAATTCCTCCACATGAAAAGGTAATTTATCAGCCACTACTACCAGCTGTCAGGGACTTTTCAATGACAATCAGAGTATACAATCTATGTGAAAAACTGCAGAGGAGCAACTTTTGGCTTCTTGAATAATAAATGGCATTAAACTTTGGCAGTGCCAAGACTGAAGGGCTGAATTTCTACTGAACTATCCACAGGGCCCTGTGAATTATAATTGTCTTATTTAGTAATAGAGTTACTTGGTTTTTCAGGAATGTAATATAGCTAATTACAGCACCTAGACAAGTAAGTGAGGATATTTTCTGAAACATGAGGATGAAGAATGTGAGAAGTGACTTCTTTCAATGTCTTCTAGTAGTGCTTCTTGGCTGGAGGTTTGTAAGACACCAGAAGACCAAAGGAAGCATACCCAAATAGAAGTGTCTGAATGAACCAGTGAAACTGAATTGCCGGGTCAGTGATTCCTTTAGATCTGTAATGTTAACGAAAGCATAAAATGTGTCAAAAAACTTATGGTCTTGCAGACTATACCGTGATACTTACAAAGTAAGGTTAGATATTTCTACCCATACTTGATACATCAGACTTGATTAAAACATTTGAACTTAGCATCATTAATTTCAGTCTATGGAGACTTATTTCCTGTACTAACTAAACATATCAGTTCTTGTGATTTTAGTGGATTTTAAACTATCTATGGAACAAAGGTTCTCTCAGAGATTTCATGCATACAATGTCCTCAATAATATATAAATTGCAATCTCAGTCTATACTATTTGAAATGACTTATCCTAGAAGTCTATGTACAAAGAACCAAGAAATTAGAGTAGCTTAATACTAATCTTAATACACAAGTCTGTATGTAATTTCTTGTTGACTACTGTCACTGAAGGTAGACCATATGCTAGCAGGGCAAAGAGGCCTGACAATTACTGTGTGATGCAGTATGGAGAAGCAGTTACCTGAATTTATGGCTAGAAAAATACAGGTACAGGGGGCTGAAGACATCTGACTTGATTTATGAAGCAGAGACCTTCCTATGTCAGTCAGTTTTAACTTAGCATATGTGAATTTTTCTGTATATTACAGAAAATGTCACTTTTTCCTCCATTTCATTGTTGTTGAAAAATACTACTGAATTTTCAGAGAAAAGAATGGGTACAAACATGACAGCAAAACCAATGGATTTCACTTTTCCAGCAAACAATTGTCAAGCATAACTGTGCTCCAAGTCATTAGTTTACAAGAGAGCTCCCTCTACTGACCTTTGCTGGAGCAGTTCAGCTGTCAATTGTTCCATAGCCTCTACATGTACAAAATGATTGTGTAACAGGTATTGATTAACACAACATTTCCTAATGTTCATTCTTAAATTGTCTTACCAGCTGTGAAAACCTTTTTTTATAATCCCAGCTGCACTGTTTCCAAATCAGTGCAGAAACTGGAAAACTAGGGCTTAAGAAATTTACCTGTTTATATAAAGCAAGCTTACTTGAATAGACCATATGCAGAAATACAGGCCAACAGCCTATGACAGTACTACTATCGATTAACAAATTTGTATCTGCTTCCTCCTTAGTTCTTCCTCATGCCTCCTGTGTGATGTTCATACGTAGACATCACTTTTATATCAATAAAAAGTACATGGTGTTTGGTGCTTATAGTAAAGTACAACTGTTTAGAAATCTACAGAAGTATGCTTGCAGAAATGATGATGGGCAGGCAATCTATGCTCTCTCTTTTTTATGGGCTTTAACACTACTCCATAAAACTTCATTACTTAACTTGATTACAATACACCCATTTGGTACATTCACTGGTAATAAAGTTCCCTCGTACTTAAAAATCACCTTAAGCCTATATACCTATTTATCTGCAGAATCAGAGTTAAAGCTTTAACTCCAAAGCTACATAATTTAAAAATGGGGCCGGGTAAAAAATTTATTACTAACTCCCATTCTGAAGGCAGAAAATGTTCATCCATATTCTGTTATCTTGAGAACCACCTTAAATAGCTTTCCATGGAACAAAACCCCTTTGCCTCCAAGAGATATTACCTGAGAAGCCTGTGACAGACAGCTGTGAACTGAACTAAATGAAGTGGAACCCCACCATTTTTACAACGGCAAACAGACTGTCCATCTACTCTGTAGAGCATGAAAATCAGTATCTACATTCTTCTGAATTATTAGAAACAAAATTCAAATGAACAGAAGGATGATGTGTTTGGACAGCATACCTTTCCAAATAATTTGTTATCCTAATGTAAGACTTAGTTGGCCTTACTTTTATAGCCTGGCTAGTCAAAGTATTTTATCCCACAAACCTGCAGATACAAGTAGATCTTAAATAGTCCCAAATGGAAGTGCCCAATTGTATTCTCACAATATAGATGCAATCATTTAAGCAGGTAATTAGCAGTCTCAAAATTCTGATGAGGTTAGATCTGATGAAATTGTAACACCTGAAGTTATCAGACTATTTCTACACTACCTATTGTTCTCTCTGTTTCCTAAAGCGCAATGTTACCCAGTGAACAGTGAGTTCAGAGGCAGACAGACAAGCTCTGGCAAACCTTGCTGCTGCCAGTTCTGCAAGTTGCCATTCCTTGCTTTTGCCACCCTGTACAACAGTAACGACTAGCAGAATTTGCAGTAACCTCTTGTGGAGGATAGCAAACTATCGCTGCAGCTCGAATTTTATCAGTATCCTCTGAACTAATATTGCTGCTGAGAACCACCAAAATCAGTCTGTAGCTTATGTCACTTGTAGCAGAAATCCTTTGCAGAGAATCTACGTTGGGGTGAGGGGAGGGAATGACTTACTGGCATAACTTAACACCATAGAAGGCTTCTACTATGTGAATCAACCAGGATACCCAGAACCTAATAAAAAGAAAACATGTTTTATTTTGTTGAAAATTAGGGAGAAGACTGTAGTATCCAAGATGCATTATGCAGAGAATGTAAAACTGGAAGCATAGAAGTAACATCTCACTTTAACCTAGACAGTGAGGTGTGTTTCTTATCTTAGGAAAAAAAAAACCCCACATGCGTAGTCTTAAAAGAAACTAAAGTCCACTGAGACAGTTAGAGGAAATGTAACTCACGCAATATGCCATTTCAAGTATCTACTGCATGTTTCCAAAAATTTCAGCACTTAGATTAAGCCAAAAAGCCAAATGCTTAGTGAAAGCAGTACAAGTTAATCTTAGTTAAGCATGCAAAAATCTACCCTTTCACTTACACAAGTATTTTTAGTGGTCCTAATGAGTTACTGACGTTTTTATAGATTTAGTTCTATGAAAACAACTGTGTGTATAGATTCAGAATATGTACTACGACTTGATTAGTCAAACTTGGTCTACAGATTTTCATATAGAAGCTTTTTTAAAAAAAAAGTTAGGATATTCATCAATTAAATACCTTGCTAAAGCAAAAGATTCTCTGAGCAAAGATGAAGGCTTAACTTCTACATGATGCATGGTAAAATAAACCAGAAAATCTTGCTGTCTTCCTGTCTTTATATGAAGTCAGCAAGTGAGAGACCTAGTTACAGGCAAATGTTTTCCAGCTCTTTTCTTAATTAAAATAACAAAACCCTAAGTTTTGTAACCCAGCAAAACTTAACGCTATGTAGTTTCTTCAGCAGGTTATTTCTCACGTGGTCAAGATCAGGATAAGTTAGCAGGGTAGAAAATGTTCTTTAATTGAAGCTGGAAAAAGAAGACTCCTAAAGCAAAAATTAGTCTACTTGAGTAACAATTTGACAAAAGAACCACTTTTAGGAGATGTTACAAATGTAAGTTTACATATGGACTAATAACTGTCTCCAAAAGTAGTATCTTTATTTTCTTTCCTTTCCCACTATAACAACACAGATGCCAAATTCTAAGTTGAATTTTTAAACTTTCATACTGGTCTTAGCCTGTCTGGTCTTCTACATACTTACTATCCCACACCCTTAGTTGTAATGAGCTTGAAAGGAGAGCTCCTTAAATGTAATTAACAACTGGGTTACAGGAAAGCTTGTTAACACAGACTAAGCAGAAGAATCAGAGAGAGGCAACAGGAGAGATGCAAAATAATTATACAGTCAAGTACAACTTACCCATAGCATACCCATTTGTGGTGGTTTTCTACTAAATAATTAAGGAAGCTACCAAATATTCCCAAGTAGCTATAAGGTATGGTTGAAGGCCAAAGCGTTATCCACTTAAAAAAAAAAAAAAAAGTTAGTTAGCTTACTTCAGGGTAGAATTACTATCAATTCAACCTTCAAACTAGCTTTCTTTTCGCTGCCCCCCACCCCCCATGTCTGTCGAACATGGTTTAGGGCTCATCTATTCATAGTACTTCAACTCTTTCATTCCATTAACCTTGTCCAAGACGCATATTCTTCAACAAGACCACTAGCCTTTTAAAGTACACTTACTTAAGAAGATTCAAACCTATGAAATTTCTTTTCCTTGACATACAAGATGCCAAGGTGATAAGTTTAAGGTTGCTATCTGTGTACGAGGAGCGCATCTGCACATTAAGTGGCATGTAAGTTATAAGCTCATTACCTATTACACACGGTAGCAGCAAAAAATACATTGTCTCTGTCCTGAAGAAGTTAATCTGATGCAACTGACCTGAAGAATTCAAACAATGACTAGACTGAGAAGGAGGAATAACTATTTACCTATAAATAGGGGATCAGTCTTTCTTCTTTTGTCCCTTAAAAAAGGAAAATGTCAGATTTTCTTCTATTTTGAACAGGGCACAGAAAATAATTGAGCACGAAGCCCAAGATCAAAGATGGATGCAGTGTTCAGGTATCTTTCCTGTCGCTGAGTTGTCCGCAGTGCTTATCACTGCCTACCTTTATTTTAACAAGCTGTGGAGAAGCAGGGAGTCAGTGAGCTGTGCACTTTAGAATCCATTGGGGATGTAAGGTAAACGTTAAGCTAGGCCGAAGTTCACACTGGCTTATCTTTCCTCTGGTATCAATGCTGCAGTTTCTAACTATATGTAAATTTGGCTAGGCCAAGGACATGGCAAGATGATTAATTTAAACAGGGAATCTGCTTAAAGCTCATTCTGTTTCTTGGAATGGTCCAAAAACTGTTTTGTGAGCTGTTTGGCCTGCCTTGACCATCATTTTTTCAGTGGTGGTTCTCACGTGTAGAAAATCCGTGCAAATAGAAGAGAAACTACAACACGTGGAAGTCAATGTATGACCTTCATAACTTGTCAGATATATCAAAACTGTCATTAATCTCCCCACTCCAGTAATCTGACTTATCTCAGCTGAAATCCATTTTTAGAAATTAAGACAACATGGTGACTTAACTGGCTGTTTTCCAACACTACTACCAGTTAATACAGTCTGTAACTAAAGCCATTGCTCGTAAATGCACCTTATTTATGGATATAACTGACAGCTGTCCTAGACCGAGTTTTATCGATGCACGATGCGGTTTCAATTTTGTGAATGCTAAAGATGCTTTCATCTGCTACGGCACCCGGGTGGTTGTAGCCATGCCCAGAGACGCTGTATGCCTTCAGTGCCACAGCCTCGCTTCACCTGGAATCCAACTCAAGTACTTTGTGTTTTTCTCTGAACTTCCTTCACGGATGTGTTCGGCCTCCTCACGAGCTGACCCGGCCAAACCAGCACTCCGGCTTCCTTTCCCTCCCGGTTTATTTCAGACAGTGGCGTTTCCACGGACGCCCGGATTATTAAGGAAGCCGTTCCACAAAGGCTGCGAGC